GAGCACGTTGTCGCTGGTGCCGGTGAGTTGCACTTGGAGATCTGCTTGAAGGATCTCGAGGAGGACCACGCCGGTGTTCCTCTCCGTATCTCCGACCCCGTCGTGCAGTACCGTGAGACCGTCAACGCCACTTCCAGCATCACCGCGCTGTCCAAGTCGCCCAACAAGCACAACCGTCTCTACCTCACTGCTCAGCCTTTGGACGAAGAGGTGTCCCGCGCTATCGAGACTGGTGTCATCGCTCCTCGTGATGATATCAAGTCGCGTGCCCGTATCCTTGCTGACGAGCACGGCTGGGACGTCACCGATGCCCGTAAGATCTGGTGCTTCGGTCCCGACACCACCGGTGCCAACTTGCTCGTTGACCAGACCAAGGCCGTCCAGTACCTGAGTGAAATCAAGGACTCCGTCGTCTCTGGTTTCCAGTGGGCTACCAAGGAAGGTCCCATTGCTGAGGAGCCCATGCGCTCCATCCGCTTCAACATCATGGATGTTACCCTCCACGCTGATGCCATTCACCGTGGTGGTGGTCAGATCATCCCCACTGCGCGCCGTGTCCTCTACGCCGCCACTCTCCTTGCCGAGCCCACTCTTCTCGAGCCCGTCTACCTTTGCGAGATCCAGGTTCCCGAGCAGGCTATGGGAGGTATCTACGGTGTCCTCACCCGCAGGAGAGGTCACGTCTTCGAGGAGGCCCAGCGTGTTGGTACTCCTCTCTTCAACGTCAAGGCGTACCTTCCCGTCAACGAGTCCTTCGGTTTCACTGCCGATCTCCGTGCCGCCACTGGTGGACAGGCCTTCCCACAACAAGTCTTCGACCATTGGCAACATCTCACTGGTGGCTCGGCACTTGACCCCTCCACCCTCACCGGAAAGATCGTCTTCGACATGCGCAAGCGCAAGGGTATCAAGACCGAAGTGCCCGACGTTTCCAACGTAAGTTTCCTCCCGCATGGTCTAGAAACAGCACATGCTAACGAATTCTGCAGTACTACGACAAGCTATAAGGGAATGCTCGCAAAAGCGTTAGATTTCCTTTATTCGCGATTCTGGGTCATCCGACAGTCATGGGCAAGCTCGTGGCCGCTGGTCGATGTATGACGCAAACAGCTCCCCCATGGGACAACCAGAGCTAGTAAATGTCGGTCCGGGCGGTTTCGCCCTTGATATTAGTTAGGTTTTTTGGGGCTTTGCACGAAAGATACGGATGATGACCCTTTTCCTTACATGTTCTCAGTGTAGTATAGTTGGAGAAAATCAAGCTATATCGCACAAACACCTAAGCATCTTTCATGTGTGACGTGTTTTAGTAAAGGTGATGTTGTTGTGAGTGAATGCATGCAGTGTCCAGGCCTGGTAGGTGCACCTCCTTCTGGTTAGATCATCCAGGAGTTCGAGATGGTGAATGTAGCGGGGCATCGGCGTCACGTGCTCACGGGTAAGAGAGCTATGACATTACCGTCGCGCTAGTAGCAACGCGAAAGATGTACGCTCGGCGCAATCCAAGTCACACCAGAAACACCACAGCGCAGTACCAGACTGCAACTCGACATTAACGCGATCGCGCAACCTGGTTATGAATGTAATTTGCTCCTAGGATTCGCCATGTTACTCGAGGAGAAAGATCATGCCGTGTTCAAGAGTTGGTTGCTGCCGAACGTGGAGAACATGTAAGTCGGAGCTACACATTGCTCTCACCAAAGTTGTCGCGCAGGCGCATACTGACCTGCATTGCAGCTCCGGTGTGGAAGGCGGAGTGCTCGCTGACTATGTAGCCGCACTCGTTACGGTCGACGATACGGATGCAAACGTGCAGCGTACCTTGATCGAGTCACTGCAAGACTTTCTTGGCCCGGAAAGTAAGCGCAGGCGAAGGCTACGTAACACTTCGTCGCTAATGGCCCAAAGAAACCGAGCCTTTTGCAAAAGACGTTATTGCAGCACTCAAAGCTAAGAGCTATCTTCCGAAGCCGAAAACGAATGACGCGAATCCACAAGCATCGTCTCAAGCCTCACAATCCGCGCCCATACAGTCCATAGTTGGTAGCACGAACTTCGAATACGAACCGCATCCGTCGAACGTGCCATTTGGAGCCCCGAAAGGTCCTGCTGCCAACAGGAACTCAGCAGCATCACATCTCCTACCCGACCGACCAACCGCTCAGGGTTTATATCAGGATGGTTCGAATCAGTCGAGGAAGCGCAAGGTGTTGGAGAGGGACAACAGCCAGTCACAAGAGGGCCAAGATCCACATTATACCCGTAGCGGCGCAGGAGTCAACAGGCCATCGAAGCAGACAGCTCGCAGAGGCGGTAGGAACGCCGGGACTGGAGATGCGCGGACACAGAATGCGTTTGCGAGTTTTGGCGGTATGCCGAATTTCGCAAACCTTCCACCGCCGCCGCCAGGCCCTTTACCGTTCGATACCTCAGATCCCATGGCTTTCTTTGCCATGGCAGCAGCCTTCGGGGCAAATCTGCCGGGCATGCCTCAACTTCCTTTCTCCAATGCGCAAGACGGTGGCTCAAGCCAAGGACAACCCAAGACAAAGTGTGCTGATTATTATGAAAGGGGTTTCTGCGCGCTTGGTACCCTTTGTCCACACGAACATAGCGACGCTGCCGTAGCCGTTTCGCCCGACGAAATCCCCGAGTACGATCCGGAGCAGTCATTTCTTGCTGTACAGCCATCTAGAGGATTCAACAAGCAAGGAGCGTCCGGTAGCCAGCCTCGTGCAACTAAGGGTAGAAGGGCACGCGCATCGTTCTCTTTGCCGGGCTACTCGCGTGACAAGTCGAATAGGACACTTGTCGTCGAACAGATCCCAGCGGAGCATTTCAACGAGGACAGCATACGGAGCTACTTCTCAGAGTTTGGCGATATCGATGAGCTCGAGCTACACTCTAGGAGGCAGTTAGCAGTGGTCAAGTTTGCTGATCGCCAGACCGCTAGGCGTGCTTATCATAGTCCCAAAGCCGTCTTTGAGAACCGGTTCGTCAAGGTCTACTGGTACGCACCAGAAACAAAGGAAAAGTTGGCTCAGGAGAAGCAAGAAGACGAAGAGGAGAAGCTCGACCTAGAGGCGATCGCCATTAGGCAGGCAGAAGCTCAGAAAGCGTTTGAGGAGCGCCGTCGCAAGGCTGCGGAAGCAGACGCGAGAGCTGCTGACATAGAGAGACAGCTGGAAGAAAAGAACAAGGAGATAGAAGAGATTAAGCGACAACTTGCTGAACTGTCAGGGGATTTGAACGACGACTTCGCCCAGACTCTTGCCACGCTACAGGCCGAAGCAGCAGAACTTTTCGATCAACATGGTCCTGGTGAGCAGGAGACACATGGCCGTGGCGCCTTCAATCCAGCTTACCGAGGTCGAGGATACGCTCCCTTTGCACCTCGGGGTAGGGGCTTTGGACCTTACCGGGGCGCGTACAGGGGCCGTGCAGGTGGTTATGCTGGTCGAAGTGTAGTGAATAAGAAGCTCGACAACCGGCCTAGGCGTCTGGCCGTCACCCAGATCCAGCCAGATACACCGAGGGATGAGTCTCTGCGGCAGCACCTTCTCGTGAGTAGAAGTTATACGTGTATTCGTTCATCTCTGCTAACGATATGTACAGAACATACCCGAATGCACAAATATTGAGCGTCACCCCGAGCAAGCCGACACCCTCATCCTAACCTTCAAAGAGCGCTACCAAGCAGAAACTTTCCTTGACCAATCCCTCAATATCCCCGACGTTGGCAAACTCGATCTCGCATGGGTTCCAAACGACGCCTTTGGTGGTCTCAAATCCGTGACGACGACGAATGACGCACCCACAGCTCTCCACGACGATGATGGTGATGACTCTTCCGCTACTATCGGAGAGCAAGAGATCAAGGTCGAAGAAGATGAAGATCGGCAGATGGGGGGTGTGGATGCGGATATGGATGTTGCGGATGATGTGGATGAGTGGCTGTAAGTGATACCCTTGGCATGTGATGTGCAGTGACAGACAGACTCTGTGAGGTCCTTCTCTTCTCCTTTATTACTATCAAACATCAGCGTGGCGTCATGCTTTTAGGTCCAGGAGCATGGTGTGTTCTTGAGATAGTCTCTTCGCATGAATGTAATGCATCAAACTACTATATCTTAAGTCTCACAACGTCACATTGGCGCAGATATTCAAGAGGCTTCCACGCCCCACCTCACATATAATATTACACTCCAGCCCTCCTATCTAATCATTACCAGTTGAGCCTGCCCCTGTCCCCCCAACTCCGTACGCCAGCTCCAACAACATGTTCACTTGCCACGTCGTTCCGTACAACATCCTCCCCTGTTACCAAACTCCTTCCTCCAAGCCTTTGGAAACCCACACCATGTTCACAACATAGCCTGAAAACTTTTCACCTCATCCCCCTTGACACCTTCAAACCAACTCACGCGATCCTTGACAAACAGCTCGCGCGTCGGCTTCAACTTCGTCTCGACCAGATTGAAGTCATCCACGGTCCCAAGCCGCAAGATGGAACAATCAGGGAAAGCAGCGCCAACGCGATACATGAGCGTACCGCAAGTCTTGCAAAAGTAGTTCGTCATAGTATGACCCGAAGCTATCGTCGAGGCCTGACCGTACGACGACAAGTTCGCACGACCACGGAGGTGGCGGAGGTGTCTATTACATCTCTTGTCAGTCACTGCACTGCCCATCTCCCCCAAACACCCACAAAACTCATGAAAATAGGAAGAAAAACAACTTACGAATCCCTAACCGTAAAATTACTAGCAAACATGCTCGCAGTAATCTTCCTGCAATCCGCACAATTACACACAAACGACGATACCAAACCGGGGCCCTCGATCGGAAAAGCGAGTTGAACCGCGCCGCAGAAACACGTCGCAGTCGCTTCTTCGTTGTTGGAAAACCCGTCTTTGGCCTGCCCCGCGAGCGGGAAGTAAGGCAGGGATTTGTCGGATGTGCTGACGGACATGGCCATGGATGATGCTATTGGTGCGGGGTCACGCGGTGAGGGTGTGAATGGTATGACGGGCGTGGGCGTTTGAGTGGTCCTGGTTGATGTTCTGGTAGACGTGCGCGTCGAGGGTTGCCTTGAGGTTTGCGTGGAAGGCTGTGTTGTCCTTGAGGAGTTTTGGGTCGAGGGTCGCGGTGTTGAAAGCGGGGATGGGGATAGCGCGTAGGCGTTTCCTGGCGCTCGTACTGGTGTTGATGGTAAAGGCGGGGGAAGACTAGTTGCTGATGCTGCTGCCTCGGTAGGCGTGCCACTACTTTGGATTGGTGTATCTCCCCAGTTTGCGAAATCTTGTATGTTAGACCCGCGGCCTAGGAACATGGAACTTGCTTTCTTGCGCAGAGAGGATTGCGATGGCGGTGTGGAGAGTTCTTTTCGTTTCTCTGTTACTAGTAGTGTTGTTGAACTCTTTGACTTGCGCAGCACGGCTGGCGGTGGGTTGTCGGTGCCGGGGATGTGTAAGTCGGGGTTCAGGCGCTGGGCGATTTGCTTGATGAACTTCATGGTTGCGACTGGCTTTCCTTCTCTTTTTTATGCTCCTCTCTCCCTTCCTTGCCTCGCGATATGTTGTGTACCCCAGGATTTGTAATAGTGAGCACTAAAACTTTCGCGGGAGCTGCGAAGTTGGCTGACAGATCCAGATAATGCAGGTCGTTTTTTCCCTTCTGTTCGTTCAGTGGCTATACCGGCTATTGTTGTGGTTGTTGTTATCGATGGTGTTGCTCAGTAAGCCAATATATCATTTCGTCATCGATGTATTACACACATGGAAAACCGTCGTTTTAACCCCGACTCCGCATTTCCTACACTTCCAGCCCCACAAGGTAAGGATTCAAGAACACAACGGACCCCCGATTCTGGGATCGAATGGATCGAAACAAACGACGAAAGGGGAGGGTTCGTTGCTATACGGACTTGTTTTGGTCTTCCCAAGCCAGCAAAAACAATTATGGGCACGCGTCGCGTACTTTCCGTTGGGACGGCTTCACGCTTGAGGCCTGATCTGCGGTGTTAGTGGCCGATTGGTGGTTCCTGAGGATATGCAGGGATCGGTTGCATGCGATGTGGAGGATATCGGTGATTTGGTAAGCATGTCCGTTGGGTCGTGTTCATGGGAACTGCATAAGCTTTACTGTTCACCCTCGTTTTTGTTGAGCAGGTGCGACATCAAGCTAGGACACCAATGAACCTTGTATCTGAGACAGTACTGTAAAGTGAACTTTCCCCATGTTGCAGCCATGGTAATTGTTCATTTTCCCGGTTCTGGTTTTCAATAGCTACTCCATGATCTCACTCTGCCTCGCTCCTTCCACTCCATGGACCCAACTCACCCTGTCCTTGACGTAAACCTCTCGCTTGGGTCGCAGTAAGCCCTCCATCAGATTCAGATCGTCGACGGTGCCTGCTGCATTTAGTACACACTTCGCCTGACCGAAGATTGTTACATACCAAGCCTCAGTAGGGTAAATTCGGGATGCCGCTCAGTCAGCCGGTACATGAGCGTTCCACATGTATCGCAGAAACAGTTCGTCATCGCCTGGCCAGAAGCAGTCGTCTGAGACTGTGAGAACTTCTTCAGGTTGTCCTGGCCGCGAATGTGCTTGACAGCTGAAGCCGCGACAATGAAAGCTGAGGTAAAAGCTGACGCTGTGATCTTTCGGCAATCGGTGCAGTGGCAGACGAAGGTGTCTACGAGGCCTGGTGCGGTGGTTGGCTGCGTTGAGCATTAGAACTTTGTGGTATAGCAAGACCATGGTGCCACTGGAGCACGAACTTACAAATGCTAGTTGTACAGCTCCGCAATAGCATGTAGCTGTCGCCTCGCCTTCTTTGGAGTAGCCATCCTGCTTTAGACTGTTATGGGGTATGTACGGTTTGTCCTTATCCGAGTCTCGTGTAGACATGGTCGTGATATCCTTGCTTGACTATGACGTAACCGTTGCAGACGAGGAGTAAATGTTGATGATGCAAGAAGAAGCTTTTTGGGGGCTCAAAAGCGATGCTATGTAGTCATGCTTATCTGTGTAACCCAACCTCTAACTCCGATATATTGCCGGAGGGAGTGCATGTCCGACCCTCCTCTCACTCACTCCGCTCACTCCGTTAGTTTCATACAGGCCCCGGACAAAGAAACACGGGCGGTCCATATGCGCTCGTCGGGCGCCAGCATAATCCTCATGGTAGCTTTACTGAGCTGTAAAGTGTGGCATTCTCGGACAAAGACTTAGGTATCTGAAGAGAGACGCCTCGAAGTAATCGATAGGCCCTTACAACTTACTCGCCTTACCCCGCCCCAGCGTAACGACCAACTTACCAAACTGACTCGCGCTCTTCATATCCTCAAACAGTGTATCAATCTTCTCCACATCCAAACCATGCACACTGCGACTGACCACAGGCTTCATCTTCTTCTCTTTGACAAAGCGCACCATATCAGCAAACTCCTTCCTCGAACCCATGGTCGAGCCGCGGACTTCGATGTTGCGCAGCACGGCTGACATGAGGAAGTCCATTTTGGGGGATACGGTCATGCCGTATATGGAGATGACGCCGCCAGCCTATATCGATAAATCAGCCTGTTGTCGCAAGAAATGGAGAGAGCGAGGGAAGAACGAACCTTGAGTATCTTACTCCCCACTTTCACAACATCACCGCCCGCGCCATCAACGATAGCATCAAGGTACTTCCTCTCCTTGGGCAACATGGCCTGAAGTTTCTTATCCCAATCCTTCTCCTTGTAGATGACACCTCCCTTCGCACCCAACTTGACCGCCTTGTCAATCTTCTCCTGGTTCCCGCTCGTCACGTAGACATTGCAACCTTGTGCCACAGCGAACAGCAACACCATAAGCGCGACACCGCCTCCAATGCCCGTGACGAGGATATTCCGTCCTGGCATCGCATTCCCGCTTTTAACCCAGAACGCGCGCCACGCCGTCAGCCCGGTAAGGGGCAGCGCAGCAGCCTCCTCGTCGTTGAGATGGTCGGGACATTCCTCCAGCTCGCCGGCATCGAGCGCGCAGACATCTTGTAGTGTGCCTACGGGATTGCTCTTCGTGCCGCCCATTATCGCATACCCCTTGGGATGTTCGGGGCCGTCCATGCTGTCCTTCCAGCCCGTACCGGGGTTCAGCAAGACGCGCTTGTTGAGCCATGATTGTGCCGAGGGGGATGCGCCGGCGGAGGTGACGATGCCGACGCCGTCTGCGAGGAGGGGTACGCCGAAGGTTGTGCCGGGGTAGAGGTGTTGGCGGATGAAGAGGTCGCGGTGGTTGAGCGCGGCGGCGGTGAAGGTTATGAGGGCCTGGGTGATGGGGATTAGATTGTGAGCGGGTGGCAGGTCTTGGTAGAGGGAGCTTACTTCATTTTCTTTCGGCTTGGGCTCCGGGACGGTTATCTTCTCGAGTGGGTAATAGACCTTTCCTGGCTTGCCTTCGACTTGTCTGATCACGATGGCGGAAGGCATGGTTGTTGATGGCGATTGAGACGTGATGTGATGACGCGTAGCAGTTCAATGTCGGGTGAACAGGCTAGGGAGGATGTGTGATTAGATATGTGCAGCTCAGATGCGCGGAGCGATGACCCGAAGAGCTCATCATGGTTGTGGTGCTCGGATGCATGACGAAAGAGCTCCTGGACCGAGGTCGCGTTCGGGGCGGTGGGTATGCTTATCGATCGATGCGGGGAATCTGGATGACGGGGATTACTCGGTCTTTGCAATACAACACACATTGGGATTTATCAGGAGCAAGTCATACATCAGTTGGTCTGTCTTCATGCAAGAGTGATGGTTGGCATTCGTTTCGTACAATACATTAATGATGCAGGTTCCTTTAGGGCCTCCACCTGAACGACGGATGGCGCCAATCCAGATCCTCAATTTCACCCTGCGACTTGCCAGCCAGCTCCTGGTCAACATCAATGGCATCACGCTGCTTGTTGCTCCTGTTGATCCAGAGCAACAATAGAATACTCGATATCAAGATCGTACTGCTGGTCGCCAGGTTGAGCCCATTACCGATGGGATAATTAGGCGCATCTGTAGGGAGGAAACTCCATGTCGAGATCAGGCCGCCTACGTTGCCAAACATGACAACAGTACCTAACATTCAGTCAGACTTTGCTTTGTTATGACGTACAAATTTTGGTACTTACCGATAGCGGATGCACGCGCCGTGTCGGACACCACGTTGGCAGAGCCCTGCGCGTTGCACAGCGCGCCAAACGAGAATGCTCCCGACGCGATGAGGAAGGTAGCACCATATCGAACTTGCCCATCTGTACTGGCTAAGAACATGATGTATCCAATCATCATAAGCGGTGCTCCCAGGATGAAGAAAATCATGCGCCTGTCGAATCTCCAGCTCAGGAATGGTAGGAGGAGTGTAAAGAAGGCGCCCACAATGTATGGTGGCACGGTGTGAAGTTGCTGCGAAACAACCGTATCGTTTGGGTATATCGTCTTGACAATCGTGGGCGCGAAGAATGCCAGACCCTGCACCGTGATGTTGTCGAGAAGGAAGATGAATGAAGTCGCCAGTACCACAGGATTGAAAATACCGCGAAGCGTCTTCTTCTTGTCTAGCTTATCCAGGACCTCGTTCTGGCCGACACGTTCGGACTGGATCAAAAGTCAGCAGTTGTACTATACGTACCGGGTTGTCTAGCCGAATCCACGCTTTACTGCGCTATGTATCTTTCAGAGTAGATGATGACATACCTTGACACGAGCAATCGCCAAATCCTTCTCTTCTTGCGTCAACCAGCGCGCAGTCTCCGGACGATCTGTGAGCGTCATGAAAGAGATAAGGGCCAAGCAGCATGTGACGATGCCCTCAATAGCAAAGATCATCCTCCAGCGTGTGAGCGAGCCGAAGGAATCGAGCGTGAGAATCGCTGAAGCCAACAAACCTCCGAAAGCGCCGGCTAGGGGAGACATGACAATGTACAGCGACAGTCTGAACGCGAGCTCGGAGCGTCTGTACCACCGAGACATGTAGTATGCAATGCCTGGTAGCATACCAGCTTCAAAGATACCCAGCAGAAAGCGTACACCACAAATGGCATGAATGTTGTGAACAAAAGCCGTGCCAATCGATACGATGCCGAAGCATAGTGAGATAATAGGGATGAACCATCCCGGGCCGAGCCATTTACAGCAGATATTGGACGGGATCTCGAAGACAATGTAGCTGACGTAGAACACGGAGAGAACGGTATTGTAGTCGTAACCACTGAGTCCAAGGTCCTTTTCGAGGCCCGCTAGACGAGCGTTTCCGATGTTGGCACGGTCGATGAAGCAGAACAGATAGAGAAGGGCCACGGTCGGGATAATGTACAAATCGATCTTCAGGCGGAGACGTGACTCTGCCTTTTTGTCAAATTGCATCAAAGCATGGCCGTAGCTGTCGACATTGTCAGCAAAGAAGATCGAAGAGAGTGGCTAGACTCGCATGTCGGTAGCAGTATGGCCGTGTCCCGCAATCTGGTGCGCGTCCTCTGGCTTGAAGTCTTCATGTTGGCTGCTCGGCGTGTCTTTTTCAGCCGCGTAATCCGTCTGGGCTTGGGCCATGGTGAAGCGGCGTCCTGAGCGCGTTCTGGTACAGAGAGAAAGAAGGAGGGAACGGCCTATTTCTTAACAACGGCAAGTCGTAACGTCGCAGCCGCACCTCTGCTTTATTTGTACTCCACACCCCCCGGAAGGTCCTCCTTCACGCCGGATCGCAGCTGGGTCTGGCCGGTGTCCTTGTCAGCGCCGTTTTGATGGAGCGCGCGCGTGCCAAGGTAGATGGCTGTCATTACTAGCTCTCGAAGTGGTGAAGCGCCTGGGGCACGGTCGCCAGCGGAGCCTTTCGGCGTGGAGACGGCTCTTCCCCGGACTCCACGATGATCACCGACCCATCTATCTGAAGGCAACCAGCCGTCGCAATCCTTTCATGTGCCGTCGGGTGTCAGCGTCGGTATATGGCCGTTTTTCGGTTGTAGATAGGGCGTAGGGCTCACTTGCTTGCATCGTCATGGCGAGATCTCTTCCCGGGTACCCCGCTACGCCACGACTCTTGCCACGACTCTTGGGACTGGGACCGATCAAACATTACCATGTGTCAAGCAGCTGATAGGCTGACGGGCCATTGCATATCTGAAATCGACGGGAGAGTGAGTAAGGGGACGTGTGGGTTTTGCGCAAACGTAAAACGAGTCAACGAATTGCACTGCACGTCCCTTACTAAGCTTTGGAACGCTTGTGGAAGAGCGTCCATCCATTTCATTGGTACGTTCAACTTCTATTAGAAGTCTCATAGGAACAGATGCTATGCACTTTGAAGAAGGCGATGACCAAAGTTTTTGACCTTCTCACCGGTCTACAAGTGCTTGTAGAGTCTCGACGTGATGTGAAGCTTATCGCCTAATCTCGATTTTCGGAGAGATAGCGTACCAGGGTACCATGTGGTGGAAATGATTGCTCGTAATTGGACGCAAATACGTTAAACGCTGCCGATCCTGATAGATATCATACATATAGCGGCCCTTAGAGTAAGCGGAGTATACTCGAGGTTTTAACTTTCACTCGACACGCTTCTGTGTCAAAGTCACCGCCGCTGCCAGCGCACCGATAATGTTACATCGTTACCCTGACTGAACATGCAACGCATTACTGGCATTGCTCAAACTCTCTGTTCATCTTCAATGTGACCGTTCTGCCCCTATTGAATTTCTGATTCTTCTTCCAGCCAGGGTAGAGCATATCGTAACTTCCAACGACGCAACAGTAGTTCACGGAAACCTTCCATGTCAGCAAGGGCTGCTGCAGGAACACAATAGTACATCGCAGCTTGCGGATGCCCGAAGTAGCCGGTCTCCCTGTCTCGCGCTTCGATTTGATCCTTTTCCTTCTACAAGTCAGCCTTGATCGTTATTACTGTCGAGGATGTACATACACTGCGCCACTCTTCTGCGTCTAGGACAAAGCGAGATGTAATGTCCCACCTTTCAGGCCCCTTAGGCACTTCGTTATAGTCGAGGTTGCTCGATATGACCGTGACACGGACGCCGGAGTCTATCAGATCGCACACAGTCTGCCGAATGCTCTCCATGATGTTAACGAAGTGACGCTCGGATTGTTGAACATCAGGGCCGTTCTTGGCGAACGTGGTGTGTATCTCGATCTCGACGTGAAGCTCTTCTCGGCCTTTCAGTCGGGTGAGAGGATAAACCTGAGCCTCTTGTTTAGACACAGCAGCCTGCGCGAACGTGGAGTCGTCACCGAGGCCGTATGCTGGTTTGTAGTAGTCACTCATCTTGTCTTGCCCGTAGCGCGTGTCAGATTCCCAATGTTCGCATGCCAGTTCTATTTTCAGATGACGAATTTTCTCCCACGGGCGCACAAACACCCTCCAAAACGGTTTGTCACTAGGCACTGTCCCATGCAGCAGAAAAGTGCCCAAAGAGTCAGCTCGCATGCCAGTACACAAACCGACTCTGATTACGAAACGGTTCTTCGACCAATATGTCTCGGACAGTTCGGTAGGTACGACCTCCAAATTTGACAGGTATGACACATCCATTAGTTGGCCACCCGATCCAACAACCGATGGGTCTGTCCGAGAACCAGGCTGTCCAGGAAGAGCAACCTGTATGGTGTCTGGATGAACGCAGACATACTCATAGACAAGGTCACGTATCTCTCGAGGCAATCGAGTGAGGAAAGGCTCCATGAGGGCTGGCGCTTCTTTAAAGACGATGTGTACCGACGTAGCATCCATTTCCCTAGTGGTGTTACTACTGGCTCCGGGTGGTAGTCTTGCGCAAGGATCCTGGGATTAGGAACAACCTCATCGTACCTTTCCAAGTTCTCTACTTCTCTCTTGATGGCGTCTTGTTTCTTCTTCAGCTCTTTCATCTCTTGACTGATCTTCTGCAAATCATTCGAACGAGTTTTCTACACAAGAAGCATACGGATTTAGCGACTACACATTCCAATGTCTGCATGTTTGCGTGCTTACCAGCTCTGCATGGGCCTTGCGCAAGTTGGACCACATTGCATTGGTATCAGACGCGTCGGTAGAGCGGTCATTCTGGCCGTTGAGCGACATGACGGCTGTCAGAAGTCTTTGTGATAGTTTGTTGGGTGTTTGAGCGTGTTGGGGAGTAGATGCGGTTGCCTAAGGGCTACGTGAGGCATTTGGAGCTAAGCCACGCTAGCGCGCATGTTTCATCTCGACATGGGAGGAACGTCCTGGACAAAGGCATCGCGCGGATCGCAAGTTCCGCCTCGTTTTCATTCTCTACTTGAACCTTGGTTATGCTCCTAGACAGAGTCGGGTACTTTGATATTGCCTTTCTGATGACGGTGGATTGCCGGGCTATTATATTGAATCAATCCTGGAGAAGAACGCTGCATCGACCATTAGCCCAACCGCGTGGAATCAAAGAATAAGGAAACGACGATCTTCATTCTGAGACTTCAAAAATTCATGGCTGCTATTCTTGGGTCACAAGCGTCCCAATGTCTAACCAGTAACGACCGAAATACCATGGTTCTCCACCGCCATCTCCTCGAGCACCTCATCAACCCTCTTCTCAGCAGCCAGGACTTCCTTCTTCTCCCCGCCCTCCGCAAGCTCCATCATGGGCTTCGTAAGAGCATGGAATCCCGCTTCTCCATATTCCATTTCCACAAATTTGCCCAGCGCGCTGTACACTAGCTCTCCATGACGCTCCTTATCTGCCATCAACACACCCACAGAACGAGCAACAACATCGGCCGACTGCACGTTGCTATCACCTAGCGCAGCGATCATGGCACGGGGCACAATCGCTGTGTCGGTCCAGGACGGAGCGACGGCGTTTATGCGGATGGGCAGTCTGGGGTGAAGTTGGGGCTGTAGAGCGCGTAGAAGACCGAGAACGCCGTGTTTGGCTGTGGCTTTGGGATGTGTCAGCACTCAAACTTGAGATGGGTTGACAAGACGTACTGTAGTCTTCAGCCGGGAGCCGCGCGAAGCTTGAACCCGATGCTGTCATGACGATGCTGCCACCGTTGGGGTTCTTCTTAAGGTAGTGTATGGCCAGCTTCACGGTGTACATTACACCGACTAAGTTGACGTTGATTGTGTTCATCTTCGGTGGTAACAAGTCGCCATTCTCGTCCACGTCTTCTTCCAGGAAGCTTGTTGATTTTCCTATTCCTGCGTTTGCAAAGGCATGGTCGATCTTCCCGTACTTCTGTTCTGCTGCTTTGAAGACGTCGAGTTGCTCTTTCCAGGACGTGACGTCGGCTTTCAAGAAGGGGACGGATGATGCTTCGGGCTCAGGAAGGGGAGTGAGGTCGCTAGCAAAGACCTTGCCGCCATGCTTGATGATCCTTCGGAGTGTCGCAAGTCCTATGCCCGATGATGCTCCTGGTGCGGGTGAGTAGTCGGTAAATGATAGCCGGTCATATTATCCTACCAGTGATGACAGCTACCTGATCCTTCAATCCATCAAGTTGGCCGTCCGAGATAGTGAAGCTCGTCATTTTGTTGAGTGGGACAGTGTGTTTGTGATGAAATGTCAAAGTACTGAGATTGGAAAGGGCGACTTGAATACAGGTAAACAAGCAACGTCTTGGCAGATGCAGAGATGGGTGAATAGGAAAGAACAGAACAACTTCTTGAGGGACTCGTGAGGAGGCATATAGGAAGGGGCAGATGTACTATAATTAGCGCAGATGGAGAGTCGCCAAAGCAGACGCCTACGCCGCATTGTAGCTCGGGACCACGGCAGACCCCGCATCAACGTACGACTACGCTAATCACCAAGGTGTTCGGTACCTAGGTAATTTGTGTCACTGGGAGGCACAGAAATAACACCAACAGCTATGTGCCCATTGTGACAAGGGTTCCTTTTGGCTAATTTGCTGGCGCCTATTCGTGTCAGGCAGCTAACTTTGGAACTGTGCCCCAGACAGCGGACATTCTGTTGTGCTCACCTCACAGGGGAGCCTCAGATGCTCGGTATGAACGTACGACCGGACCGGGAGGGTTGCGCTGCTCTTGCGAAGGTCGACACTTGGGTAGGTCATGCTCCAATGCAGCCTTCAAAGAAGCCTGTCCAACTTGACAGTCGGCAGTAGTGCTCTTTCGCTCCTCTGTATTCTTGCTTCATAGTCAACGACCGCACATGAATCCGCCATGATTTTTACAAGCGACGCGCGCGCTGACTGCCGTTGCATTTGGGTATATGTCCGCCTCTCAAGCACCACCACCGCCTCCTCCTCTTCCGCGACCGCGTCCTCGGCCTCTCATGCCTCTGCCTCCACCACGATCGCCCCGGTGGTCTCCTCGTCCATGCATGCCTCCTCCTCGGCCGCCCCGGTTCGCTTGGTCCTTGGCTTGCTGTTCCTTTACAACGTCGACGATCTCGTCCGGCACTCGGAGGTACTTTATCTGGATACGGGTCAGTAGGGTGTATTAGGAGGAACGAGCTGATCGCTTACTGTGCTTCCGCGAACGTAAATCTCTGGTAATCTCATGAACTTGTCACCGTCGGCGCTCGTTTGCACAACCTCTTTCAGGGTAAGGTTCATCCATGTGTCGCAGTTGACGAGCAGTCCGTTTAGAGTTTCGCCGCTCTTCAGTTCGACGAGCATGGGGTGGCCGGTCGCGGCCGTTAGAAGGCCCAATGGCAGCTGCGTCGAGAGTCAGTAAAAAGGCGTGAGCTGCTGGTGAGTGAGGTGACGTACCATATTGGCGACTGGGGTGGCTCGCGGATAGACCAGGCGTTATGTATTGAATATTATAGGTACAGCGAGAATGTCGCGACGCAGTAAGAAAGGTTCCTAGGACTGAGTGGAATCGAGGGCGGGATACGTAGTCGGGTTAGTGATGATCTCCCTCATTGCATCGCAGGCCGCGAGAGCTCGGACCACAGTGCCTTGGCGAGCCAGCCCTACGAGATGCGACCGAACACCATCCCTCTACTCCGTATATCCACTCCTCTAAACACGACCAATGTAGTCGACTTACTTCCGAGGCCACCAATAACAGATGGCCGGTCCGAATAGGTTTGCACCCTCTACTCACCGAGACCTCTAACCTGCACGTGCACGTGTGGCAGCTGTGCGTAGACTATGCATGTTCTTCAACTGCTTTGATTATCATGATACCAAATACATGTAATACACTCATAGAGCGAATTCGTAAGGCAAGAAATTGGCATGGGCGCAAGTCAGCGGGTGCGCAGTCGCATGGACGAGAACCGCACCAATGATGCTGCCACATGGCCTCTCAGATCATGGATTTCATCGCAACCACATTTGCATTTACAAAAGTACACACATTCGCATCCTCCCGTATCCCAGTGTTTCATCACACTGCATTATGCATAGTGCTGCCAGCTGAATCGTGAGCCGACGTCTAAGCCACGCTCACGCTGACGGCAGCCACTAGCAGCTCTGCGCCTTTATACCGAAACGCCCTTCGACTGGTGCCTGATCGAACCTCTGGGAACATCTGTCCCATAACCCGCCAAATCTCGCTCTCTTTGCGGGTCGGTGTTCGTGTGCGCTGTTTGCACACTCGCTCTGCTGTACAACTCGTGTTCTTTTTTGCTTTCAACATGCGTTCCTTCAAGTCCAAAGTGCTGTCAGCCTGCGCCTGGGCGGCACCTGTACTCGCCGGCGTCATACCTCAACACGAGCGTCACGCTGCTCGCGCCGACGGAAATCTTTTGCAGCTAGGTACGCGCCCCTCTTATACTATTCCACATTCGCCATCCGTAGGCAGCTGCTGAACTTTTGCTAGACCTTCAACAGAACTACGCGCAAGCTACCTTCAGTGTCCCCTGCACTGGCTGTCTTGGCCGCGATCACACGGACCAGGATGACGAGTCTTTGGTAAGGCCCACCCTCAGGCACCTAAATACCATGCCACCTGCTCACCATCCCTAGACCTTGAGCTTCACCAGTCATGCCCAGGATCAAGCTTGTGGCTCTTCCAACATTACCCTGAACGGACTTCATCTTCCCCAAGAGTGGAACGGCGACTTCGCATCTGGTTCCGGTTCCTACCAAGGCGTTACCGACCTCACACAGAATGAATGGTTTCTGCAGCACGACTTGGATCTCGAATGGCAGACAGCCTGTCTTCGTGATAACCTGGAAACGGAAGAAGCAGCCCAAGTAGTAACGGTCAACATCAAGGCCATCGACGGCAAGCAAGTCACCAAACCTGCCGGATTTACGATCTCGTTCAAACCGCAGACATCACCGCCTTCCCTACTCAGACTTGAGTCTGTCCCCAACCCTTCGGCGAGCAACAAAGACGTAGCTGAATCCTGGCGCAAACCTCCTCGGTTGTTGCGTCTGGCCTTCCACAACGTTACCGAAACTTCGAAAGCGAAGGGCAGAATCCCGTCTCTTAAGGACGACATCCGCGAATTGAAAGTTCTCCAGAGGGAACTCAAAGAGCTCGAATCCCTTATCGCCGAGAAGAAGAAGCAGATTCATTCAGTTCTAAGGCAAGAAGCGAAGGAACTATCGCATCAATTGGGTGAATGTGACGGCGTCTCCTGCATCGTACAGACTATCGCCCATGAAGCAAAGTGTGCTTGGGAAATCGTATCCTTCCATTTCAAACCCGATCAACGATTGAAAGAGATGAACAGCCCCGAGCAAGTGTTCGCGCAGGCACACGGTCATGCTGCACAGGTGGCACAGATCTCTGGAAGTCACATGAAAGCCGTGACTTCAACACCCCAGGTATACGAGGCTCAAGCAGTATGTGCCTCCATTCAACACCCCACCAATTGAAGCAGAGACTCTGATGCTGATCCCAAATAGAACGAACTGCCACCTCGTCCACCTAAGCCATCACCCTACCTTCTCGCCCTCGAGATCACACTGGGTGTTCTCTGCTGCGGCTGCCTAGTCGCTGTCATCCGCCACAAGTGCAGCAGCCTGCGAACAAGGACCGAGCGTGCCGCAGCCCGAGAAGAACGTCTCAACGCCCGCGCCTACCGCCGAGCAGCCCGGCAACACGCATGGCGCAGCTGGTGGCGCGGTAACTGGGCCCGACGCGACAATCAACGCATCGCCGACTACGAAGAGAAACGG